TGATGTTCATCATGACACCTTGGTTATCGCACTTCGGGTAGCAAACTGTGAAGTGAGACGAGTTCTGGTCGACAATGGCAGCACCGCCAACATCACAACCTTGAAGACTCTAAAGCAGATGGGGTACAAAGAAGAAGATCTGACTACCTCCGGTTCCACTCTTGTTGGGTTTAATGGCGAACCAAGTAAGACAATAGGTAGCGTATCTTTACCTGTACATGCTGTTGGTCTTAACTTGCAGGTAAAGTTTGATGTCGCCCAAGATCTGCCCGCGTACAACATGATACTGGGCACTCCTTGGCTACATCAATTGGGAGCGATTCCGTCAACGTACCATCAAGTGGTTAAGGTTCCAACGCCATGGGGGGTGCAATCCATACAAGGTGATAGAGTCGCTGCCAAGCCATGCTACCAAACAGCGATGAAGCCAACAGTCTCCGCCACCACATCTGCATAGCAATCAAAGGGCGACTTCATTCTGGATGGAGAGGACGATAACATTACCAAAGACATCAGCATTGATCCAGACCATCCGGATAGAGTCGTCCGCATTGGGGGCAACGTGCCGACTCAGTTGGAAGAAGAACTTGTAGCTTTCCTGAGAGAACATAAAGATGTCTTCGCCTGGAGTCACGACGACATGACTGGAATCGATCCACAAGTAATCACTCACAAACTCAATGTAAATCCTTTACATAAGCCAATCCAGCAAAAGAGACGACGATTTGCCAGAGAAAGAAATGACATCATCAATCAGGAAGTTGAGACGCTGCTGCGTACCGGTAAGATCCGCGAGGTAAAGTACCCTAATTGGCTTGCTAATGTTGTTGTAGTGCAGAAAAAGAAGGGTCACCAGAAAGGCAAAAAACCTAAGTGGAGAGTGTGCGTCGACTTCACTGATCTGAACAAGGCTTGTCCAAAAGACATGTTTCCAATGCCACATATCGACGTCCTCGCGGATGCCACAGCGGGACATGAGATGTTGACATTCATGGACGCTTTCAGTGGCTACCATCAGATTCAATTACACCCCGACGACCAGGAGAAGACCGCATTCATCACTGAGACAGGTACATATTGTTATATTGTTATGCCATTCGGTCTAAAGAATGCAGGTGCCACTTTCCAAAGGTTGGTGACGATGGTCTTCAAAGAGCAACTCGGGAAAACTATGGAGGTTTACATCGACGACATGTTGGTCAAATCCAAAAAAGCATCGGACCACATTGATCATCTGCGGGTATCATTCCTGAAGTTGCACAAGTACAACCTAAAACTGAATCCTGCCAAATGCACATTTGGAGTGTCGTCAGGAGAATTTTTGGGTTATATCGTCAGCGAGAGGGGGATAGAAGCTAGCCCGGGGCAGGTCCGAGCCATACTCGACATTGAATCTCCCAAGTCGATCAAAGATGTCCAGAGGTTGACGGGACGAGTTGCGGCGCTCAACAGATTCATATCAAAGTCGTCAGACAGATGTCGACTTTTCTATGATGTCCTCAGAAAAAATAGAAAATTCGAATGGACAGGACAACACGAAAAAGCTCTACAACAATTGAAGGAGTACATGACGACACCGCCATTACTGACGAAGCCTAAAGATGGGGAGGAACTACAGATGTATCTAGCAGTGTCGGAGCATGCTGTCAGTGCAGTCTTGACCCGGGAAGAAGACGGCCAACAAACGCCAGTTTACTACGTAAGTAAGTCATTAAGTGGGCCGGAAGCCAGGTACGCACTCTTAGAAAAATTAGTACTTGCACTTGTCACAGCATCAATTAAATTGCGTCCTTATTTTGAGTCACATTCTATTTGTGTTCGAACTAACTATCCCATGAAGTCGATCATGAGGAAACCAGAACTGACAGGTCGAATGATCAAATGGTCAATACAGCTGGGGGCATACGACATCAAGTATGAGCCCAGGACGGCTTTGAAATCACAGGCTCTAGCTGATTTTGTGGCGGATTTCAGTCCCAAACTACAAGTAGAAGCTGAAAAGGAGATGTGCCTATTGATAGAAGAGCCACAACGACAAAAATGGATTTTGCACACCGATGGAGCCTCAAACATGCAAGGAGCCGGACTTGGAGTTGTACTGAAATCACCACAAGGGGGCAACATAGTGCAAGCCGTCAGATGTGATTTCAACGCAACAAACAACGAAGCAGAGTATGAGGCACTGATTTTCGGGCTAAACTTAGCTCGAAACCTGGGCATAAAAACAATTGAGGTAAAATGCGATTCTCTTTTAATTGTTAATCAAACTAACGGAGTTTATGCAGCTAAAGACCCGAAGATGACGGCATACCTACAAGTCGTCACCAACTTAAGCAGTTATTTTGACGACATCACTTTTGAGCAAATCCCGAGGGAGGAGAATGTTCAAGCTGATGCCTTGGCAGCAGTAGGGTCATGTCTCGGAGCGGTAAGCAGTGACGACATCCCACTTGTCCATTTGACAGAGCCGGCTATCGAACGAACAGAGATGCTCAACGTCATTACATCAACCATGGACAGCAACTGGATGCAGCCATATATAGACTATCTCAAACATGACATCATACCAACTGACAAAAGAGAAGCAAGGGCACTCCTATCAAAGGTAACAAAATTTTTATTAATTGATGATGTCTTGTGTAAACGTTCAAAGGCAGGACCATATCAAAGGTGTTTAGCCCCATCCGAAGTTGTCAAAGTACTTGAAAGCCTCCATGAAGGAGAGTGCGGCAACCACGCAGCAGGAAGAAGTCTGTCCAACAAAGCCCTGAGGTTTGGTTATTATTGGCCAACGATGAGACATGATGCTGTCGCATACACTCAAGCTTGCCAACCATGCCAAAGACATGCACCAGTACACCACCAACATGCAGAAGCACTACATCCTGTCCTGTCCCCATGGCCCTTCATGAAATGGGGTATGGACATCGTAGGAAAGCTGCCCGAAGCACCAGGACAGAAAGTCTATATGTTGGCAATGACGGACTACTTCTCAAAGTGGATCGAGGCTGAGCCTTTTCGACAAATCCGCGACACCCAGGTAATATCTTTCATTAAAAGAAATATATTAAGCAGGTTCAGAATCCCGTCAGAAATCGTCTGCGACAACGGATCACAATTCATCAGCATCAAAACCAGACGATTTTGTGAAAAGTACAACATCAAACTGGAGATGTCGACGCCCCGCTATCCACAGTCAAATGGACAGGCCGAGTCCAGCAACAAAATTATCATTTCAAATCTGAAGAAGAGATTGGAGAAGGCACAAGGAAGATGGGCCGAAGAATTGCCACTCATATTATGGGCAGATCGAACGACACCAAAAAATGCCACAGGACAGACGCCTTTTTCATTGGTGTACGGATGCGAAGCTGTCATTCCAGTTGAAGTTGAGGTGCCAACATCCAGATATGGACTTATCACAGAAGAAACAAACAACACCGAATTTATTCATGATCTTGACACCATCGATGAATTGAGGGAAAAAGCTAAGATCCAAATGGCGGCCTATCAACAAAGGGTGGCGAGAAGCTACAACAAAGATGTCCGAGTCAAAGCCTTCAAGAAAGGCGATTGGGTACTCCGAAAGTCCTTTGGCAACGAAGCAAACGGAAAATTCAGTCCCAACTGGGAAGGCCCATACCAAATTACAGATGTCGTCGGACAGGGGGCATATCGTCTGACAAGCACCGACGGTAAACAAATTCCAAGGAGCTGGAATACGGTACACTTAAAACTTTTCCATTTCTAATGTAATTTTCTATTGAAATGTTCATCCTATACTTTTTGAGCCTTTTACTAACTAGACCGTCGGAGGGCCGTTGGCTTCAAGCTAACGGCCAGCAAAGTGTTTGACTAAATTACAGATCGCCAACATCGAGCTAAGTCCTATTAGACTGCATCATATAGGTTTCTGATGACAACATTAATTCAGTCGAGTTAAGGTACGCAAAATTAATTTAGTTCTTCGTGATTCTCATCTCAGTTCCTTCATTCGTCTTGACAAGTGGAAATACGTCTGACTTATTGGAGGTAATATACACCTACTGACTTTAGCATCGGAGGGCCGTTGGCTTCAAGCCAACGGCCAGCCCTTAGCATAATTTATGTTTGATTTACAGACTGAAGGTTTCACACTGCCAATTGGAAGACAAGATGAAACAAAGTGGTGGATGACGACGTCAAATAATCTCAGACTAATAACACTAGATCAACCAAGATTTTCTGACTGGTGCAGGTAAGTAAAAAAGAAGCAAATGATAAAGACACAGTCAAGGTATGCGATGACAATTTGCTCATTCCCCACGTTGCTATTTTCACTTTGACTGGTGCAAAGCACATGACCCCTTTAAGGCATTAAGTTGAACTGGCATACATTTCGCTAAATAAGTTCACAAGGACAGAGAACCAACCGCTCAATACAAATCTTTTAATTCACAAATATTGACTTTAGCATCAGAGGCTGTTATCTTCAAGCCAACAGACAGGTCCCGACAACATGATTAAATACATACTTGAGCGTGATGACGAACACTAGTGACTGAGGATATCAATCAGCTCACATAGTTTTCTCTTAACACAGCCCTTAACTACATCAATAAGGGACGTCAAGGACCGCATGGGTTCGTCATATGGAAAATATGAATACCGAGTCCATGTACCTTACACGTTTTGGCCAAAACAACATACAACGTACATTGGGCATACTGACAAAATCATAAAGTCAGATAAAACCCGAAACAAACATACAACATACATCACAAAGTCACACAACACTCAAAACGAGAAACTGAATACATTACCACATTCTACAGACTAACAACATCAAAAAGTTAGACAAACACTGGCCACGAACGACTACATCAATTTGCACATAAAAAGAAAAATATTTCTTGCACAAATATTCCATTCACAGCATAGTGGCAAAAGAAACAAGTCCTGGATAAACCACCAGATACTTGTGTGAGTAGTCAAGTGTTCAATTCACCGAACCACCGGATAAACCACCGGGCGATGTGGTTGGCACTAAAGACTGGCAAGGAAAAGATGTCTGGACGAAACAAAAGATACTTAAAACATGATAACGATAGTTTGAGCATAGCAGAAAAGAATTAAGACCTAGGAGCTGACTCCGCCTCGGCGTTGTAAGGTCCTAAATCAAAGTCGTCATCCCCAACAGGAGGTTCTTCATCAGCAAAGTTTGCATCCCAAGTATCTATGTCCTGCTGAGGATTCCAGTTGCTCGACTCGCCAGCTAAAAACGATTTCATTAGATCCTTCCTAGTTAGCCAAGTGTAGTAACCGGCTGCTTGGACAACTTCCTGTCTCTTTTTCTTGCCGTATTCTTCTAAAGATGCAATCCTGGCGTCTTTGCCTTTCAATCTGTCAGACAAGCTCTCGATCATGCGTGCTTGGGATACTATCCTCCCCTCCAGTTCCAGCTTAGAAGAGGCAACTTCGGTAAACGTCTTTTTCACTTCCTCTTCCCGCCTTTTGGATTTCTGCAATTCATCAGTTAGAAACTGCACGCGTTTAGCTGCCACCAGATTAGCCTGCACCACCTGTGATAGAGTGCTTCAACCATAAGATAAAGGTTCCAAAATCATAAAACCGCTAGTTTTATTGAGAAGGAACCTGAAATGCAAATGCAGAAGAAGCTGCCAAAATATCCACATCGCTGAAACCAGCAAAAGCGTCAACCGCAGAAGGGAGCAACAACTGTGTCACTTCTTTCTTCATCTCTAAAGCATTATCCAGCCGGCAGAAGTTGGCAGAAAAATCGGCTATGAGAGTCGTCTTTTTCAAATCAGCGCTTGCGCTTGAAACGGGAGCAGGAAGCGAGCAAGTCGTCATGGCAGCAGAACTAGTAATTGGAGGAAGTGGGGGCGACATTTTCTTCTTCTTAGACATCAGATTCAGGAGCTCAGCAGTGTCCAAGGCTTTGCGAATTCCAGAAGAAGAGGAGGTACCTGAAGAGCACAGGGGCAGTAAGATCTTACGTCGAGGATTAAGTAAATAGAAGCATGGACAATATAGAAATCCGGGCTAAAGCGCATACCCATAACCGGTCTTGAGTAACTACCTTTGCGTGCCTCAGATGTATAATCCGTCATGACAGCGGTAATGGACACACCATCAGTAGCAGTGGCACTTTCAGTGTCATCTTCAATGTTCTCAGTGCTATCAACTGATACAACTGAAGCATCTTGACATAAACTAAGAGATTTAGATATATTCCGGACAGAACGTCTTAGCCCCCCACGAATTGGACTTACGGAGGAGGAATAAGTAGCCATACCTCTAAATTCTTTTTTGAGGTTTGAGTACAGACGGACTTCAGGAGATAAAGCTAGAAATGCAGTGGTTCTTTCTTCGGAGTGCGGGCCAAATTCCATTGGAACTGTTTTCCCTTCTTTTTCCCCATCCTTCCCTTTCTTCTTTTCCTTCTTTTCATCTACCTTTGCTTCACCCACTATAGAAGTGGAGAAAACAACAGAAAGACACACGACGACAGGTAACAAAACGGTAAAGAAATTTTCATAAGAAATAAAATACAACGTACACACAGGGCAGGGTACATACAGTGCTCGCCAACAACCCTCAATCGGTCAGGGAACGAATTCACACATTCTCCAAGGGACGCCTTCTCCACAAAGAAAAATTTGGTGATCCAGCCTCGGTCATTGGCGCTGCCTATCCCCAAAATGATAGGGTCAGCCCTGGCCTTCGTTACTAGAGTGAATCGTCCTCTCCCAGAGGTCCTCAGATCGTATGAGAAACTAATATCTTCCGCTGAGTATTGAAGGTTATGCTTCTCAATCAGATACTCCAGAGAACGGAGAAGCCGCCAGGCTTGGGGCATAATTTGACAGGGAGAGATTTGGGCACGGACAATGAAGCCCCTTACTAGATCAGAGAAAGGAAAGCGGACTCCGAGCTTTTCGAACGGGTATTGATAGAAGTTGAGCCATCCCGGGGAGACCCAATCTACTCGTTCTCCTCGTGCTGGGAACCGGATTCGAGCCGAAGGAGGGAATCCATAGGAGGACCTAATTTCTTCTAAATCTTTAGCTCGCAAGTCGGCTGCTCGGAGGTTCTTGGTCTCGAAAACGTCTTGGCTTTTGAAGACGGTGAGCTCCATGAATAAGATTAGCGCAAAGTCCGGTGAAGAACCAGAGAAAGTCAGAGAGGTGATGATGGAAGAGAAACGATGGAAGGGTTTGTTGATTTGATATAGACGAGGCAGTTCCTCGGGCAGTGGGAGGTCGGTTGAGTGTTCCAGTAGAATTCAAAATTCATAATGATGGCTCACACCGCGCGTCAAATTCGCCAACATTATAAATTTGGGGGCAAATGTTGGACCCGAGATATATTAAGGTTACGGATTGAAGCCCACTAAACTCGTTAAGTAGAACGTAAGTCCAAGAAGAGTCCATCATTCAGCTCTAAGGATTCAAAATAAGGATAAGAACGTGGAATAGTTCAAATAACGAGAGTCGCAGCACGTGGAGAAGAAATAGGAGGTGGTTCCTCAACTTGGGGAGAACGAAAACCCTATTCAAATAAATAGATTAGCTGTAATCTCTGAGAAACACACGATCAATTGAGATCAAATACACTTGCAATATTCTTGTATCGAAAAGCACTCTGTACTAAAAGCTCTCGGCTAACAGAAGCCAAATAATATATTATTCTGTTCCTTTCCAATATCAGTTCTCCATTATTGATTCTTGATTTGTTTGATTCCCACCATAATTCGATTTTAGATTACCTTAATCTCTGTATAAACAAACCCATATAGGAGGTTGCACAGAAATACACTTGCATATTAATGTTTGACCGGCACAAAGGATGAACTTATAAGTTTGGTTTAAGAGGATTTGATATTCTTTAACCAAAGGTATTAATATTTATGTTTTCGAAAATTAAAAGCAGGTATGATTTTCACGGGATTCTAGAAAGGCGAATCTATAACGGAATTGATCTAAACCTGGGCATATAAGGGTATGGACACCGCCCGGGAACTGATGTAGTTGCAGACTTTGCACTTTCTGACCTTGCATTGTGACACTTTCAATAATCATACTGGCGTTTAAAACGATATGTTATGCTCTGTTATGACATATTGGGTATTATAACGTCTTTTAACCATACTACCGTAATAATGCCGATCAGCTTTGTGCTTTGGATAATTGTAGATTACACAATATTTCTAAGAAATTGCTTTATTATAAATCAATATGTTTGTTAAGAGATATTAACAAACTATTACATTTTGATCTTTCCAACGAGATAGCTCACAAACATGGCGCTCAAAATACACCATAAGGGATATTATATTGCTTTTAAATCTATTCACATTTATCCCTGCTTAAACATACTTTTTACTTGATGATATCGCCTGTAAACGATATTCCCCCTATCATATCTCTAAGTTGTGCTCTTTTATCACAACTTTTCATATCCAGCAAGTCTTAACCGTGATCTTTTATTAATGTTTTCTCCCATATACGAAATATATTTATATGAGTTCTTCAACGGAACGAAACAGAGCAAGATATAATCGGATCAAATTCTAAACGAGTTCGGAATATAAAGCGGTTGAGACCACTCCTCACCTAAACGTATTAAAACAGAATTAATGAAGAGAATACAATACTCATACGTAATAGCGGCTCTATTTGTTCCAAACATTAACCATAGCTTTATATCATATACCGTTTTGATATTTCGTGGTGTTCTGTTTAGCCCCTCATATCTTCAGGCGCCGGTTTCGAAATATCAAGGAATGATTGCCTATTTTGTAAAACAGGAAAGATATGATCGGATCAAATTCTAAACGAGTTCGGAGTTCACAATATCTGTTTAGACAATATTAAGATTTTTACGCTAAATAGGCAGTCATGCAATTTTGTGTTCAGATTTCATATTATTAGATAATATGAGGGGTTTAGGGTTTAGGGACAAATAGATATGAGTAACTTTAAATTAGATTAAATCCTTGGAACACATTAATTTCATTTGGGTAACACAAAATATCATACTTAATTGATCTATATAGAGCCGTTTACACAGATGACTTACAGTGTGTATAATTATATACACACTTCATATACCGGCGCAATTTATCTACCCTATTGAGTAACAAATGTTTCGAAGTTTACACCTCATTAGTCTATCCATTTCGTACGATTATTTGTTGCAGTAATACTTAAATAGACGTGACTTAAATTGATTATGGGCCTGTTTGGCAATCAGCGGTTAGCGATTAACGATTGGCGGATTATATTAGCGGGTAGTAAATAGCGGATTTGATCAGCGGATTTGACCAGCGGATTAGTTTGGCGGGTTGAAAAAGGTTGTTTGGTAAATTAGTTGTTTAGTTGTAGCAGTTAGCAGATAAAAAGACCAAAAAGGACATTATAAAATTTAAGCATGCGTTTTCTGTTTAATACTATCGTACTACGTACGTATGAGCTTAGGACTATAATAATTTTAAAATTAACTAATTAATAAATAATACTCGTAGTATGATAATCCTCTATAAAAACATACGGAGTATGATCATATGAAGTGAAGCTACAGTGCAGTGGTGTGATATGTGGTCATGATTTTTAGAATAATGAAGACTGCAGAAGGATAAATAACTTGAAAATTTGTAAATCTACAGAGTAGGAGTATTACATAGCTACGTATTTATAAATACCAATACTTGTATAAATCAAAAGTCAAAACAAAGATCCAATAGATGAAGGATCAATATATACGTACCTTTGAGAAAAATCTAAAGGCCTTTTTCTGCATCCTGCTTGTACAACAAAGAAACTACAGAAGGCAGGCAACGAACGTCAAACCAAAGAAACCGTAGACCTTCATGTGGCGGGAGCAAAACAGAATACGAAGATGAGAGGGTAATCGATGGAATTTAATAATTGCTTCAATCCGCCAAAACCTAAACGCTCCTATTTGTAGCGTTTTTAGTTTTGGCGGTTTCATCCTAAATGCCGATGATAAACTCTATTTGCCAAACGGGATAAAAACAGAGGTTTGAGTTCTGCGAAACGCCAAAGCAGTCAAATACGCTGATTTCGGGCCGAAACGCCGAAACGCCGAAATCCAAACGAAGCCTAGCTTTTGTTCCATATTAATGGTATTATCGTTTAAAACGTATCAAAACGCTATTAAAGCTCTATCACAAAATGGTTTACAGATATCACAATTATTAAGATCTTTAGATGAACTACCAAGCACGTTGTTTCATTTGTTTTGTATGATTAATATCCGATTTAATTTCGGAATAGATGAATCACAGATGGAGAACCAAATAGTTCAAAATTGTTCCAACTTAGCAATTACAAATATGTTCGGATTTGATGTTAAGTCCCCCCATTCACTTTTATAGTTCAATTGAGGCAAATTATACCACTTTATAATTTACATAGTCAAGGTCTTAAAAATTGATTACATATCTTGAAGTGTCAAAACGGTAACCGCTATAGGACAATTCATATCTTAACATGAATATATGTAATAGCTATTCCAGAAATTATGCATTCCACGTTGTGAATAACCCTAAAAACCGGGACACTCGACGTTGTGAGAACACAATTACCGTCTAAAAATTGTGGTATTTCAGCTTGAGTATAACTCGACGTTTAGGAGTATTTAAAAGACTTTACTTCCATTATCTGAAATAAACCTTTCATCGTATTTGTGTTCTCTTTGAAACTAGTTAATTAAATTGGACAGCCGGTCAATACTTTATTCGTTTTAGTCAAAACCTTTAGAACTCAAAATTGTCTTTCCAAAGAGATATAATACGTTTTAAACGGAAGAACACACATCAAGATATGAATATCACAAATACTTGGCCTAATCTCTATGATTTAGACTTAAGCTTTTGTTCCAACTTCAATTACAATGCATTAAGTAAAAGGTAAAGATTAACCATAAATCTAAACGGGGATTATCCCGTTGAAGATGTTTTCTATCTCGTTGGAAAGGTCTTATCGAGCTCTAAATTTATGGTTAATCTTGAATAACATATTATAATGATTGCCTATTATTTTGGAAGATAATTCACAAATTACATAAACTGTTGCTGTGAATCATACGTTTTAAACGGAAGAATACTTTTCACGATATATTTCGAATATAACACCTTAGAGATTAACCGAAAATGTGACTATCTCATATCTTACTGTGTGTTCTTCCTTTTAAAACGTAATATATTTCTTTGGAAAGACAATTCTGAGTTACTAATATCATAAAAGAACTACACATACTCCAAAATAACACTCATAAGTTATTTTGTCTAAAAGGATTTCCAAAGAGATATATTACGTTTTAAAAGGAAGAACACACAGTAAAATATGAGATATTTACTCAATCGTTCTATTCCATCTCTGAAGAATATGGCCAGAAATATCATTCGCCCAAATATTGAAAATTAGATTTTATTCCCAAATTAAACAGAAAATTGATATTTTGTTATACAAGATATCTTCAGGCGCGCCGGATATCTATTGATTGTGTGTACACTGACAATGGAGTCTCATCAGATTTTAAAACATATACCTAAAAGTGCGAAACCATTAAATGTATTCAATAATATGGTACAAAGTATAACAAAATGATAGAGATTGTGTCTATATAGCTATTAGAGCTAGGTATGCTATAATAGTTTAGATCTGTTTGGCTAATATTTGGTAATGTAAACGTTTACAGACGTGGAGGGTTTAGATAACACAGGCGCCGTTTAAATGACTTATATACGTTTAATAGGTATCTTATGAAGAAGTGTATGCAAAGTATATTATTGATCTGTATAACTTGATGTACGTACAAGGATTTATATAGGCTCACACTTGAGTGATAAGATCTGGTAACTAACTCACCCAATGTATGGGGATAAAGCCTATCAGTATGTATGCATTCGTATCGGATAATTACAAAGAATAATTAATTAATAATATTATCATTCAATACGCCCCCGCAAGATAGAGGATCCGTTGGAGACTCCTAGCTTGGACCGGAACAACTGAAATGGTGCTTTCCCAAGCGGTTTGGTGAGAATATCAGCAATTTGATGTTTAGTGGAGATGTGTTTGACTATTAGTTGACCATGCTCCACTAATTCGCGGACAAAAAAGAAGTCCAATGCAAAATGTTTCATCCGAGAATGAAAAACAGGGTTACTGCACACGTAGGTAGCTCCTTGATTATCACAGAAAAGTTGGGGTGTGGATACTAGTGAAATTCCCAATTCAGTGAGTAGACTGCGGACCCATAACATCTCTGCACTTGCATTTGCAATAGCCTTGTACTCAGCTTCGGTAGATGATCGGGATACGGTTTTTTGCTTTGCTGACTTCCAAGAAATAATATTGCCACCTAAATAAAGTACATAGGCTGTAGTCGATAGTCCCCCATCAGTCACCCCACCCCAGTCTGAATCAGAAAAGACCGAGAGAGTTAAGGGTGTAGACCGATTAAGAAATAACCCATGATTCAACGTCCCTTTAAGATACCGCAATATTCTTTTCACGCCTTGCCAGTGAGTCTCGGTCGGAGCATGCATATACTGAGATAGCTGGTTAACAGCAAAAGAAATATCTGGCCGGGTGAAGGATAAATATTGCAAGAGGCCAAGAGTTCATCTGTACTGTGTTGCATCGACAGGAGGTGTGCCATCGATGAGGGTGAGTGATGGTTTGGTACACATTGGAGTGACTGCCTCCTTGGAACCATGCATGTGACATGTCTCCAGAATGTTGAGGATGTATTGACGTTGTGTCAAAAAATACCATTTGGAGTGGGAACCACTTCTATCCCAAGAAAGTCATGTAGTATGCCAAGATCTTTAACTGAGAATGTGTGAGTAAGTTGACGAACAAATGCCTCAATTGCAGTAGAATTATTTCCTGTAATAACAATATCATCAACATAGACAAGAAAATAGATGAGTATGCCATTAGAGAGAAGAAATCGGCAAAGTTCCATATACCAGGCGCGCGGGGCCTGTTTGAGGCCATACAATGCCTTATGGAGCTTACAGACATGTGTAGGAAACTGAGGGTCCCGAAATCCAGGTGGCTGGGCCATATACACTTCCTCCGTAAGGGTCCCGTGTAAAAATGCATTATTCACGTCAAGTTGCCGGAGTGACCAATTTCGGGCCAGTGCAATAGACAGTATAATACGGATGGTAGCTGGTTTGGTGACGGGACTGAATGTTTCAGAATAGTCACGTCCAGGCTCTTGTAAGAATCCGCGGGCCACCAGCCGGGCTTTAAAACGGAGATGCTGCCATCCGCATTTCTCTTAATACGGAATAGCCATTTACACGTTATGGGAGTGTGACTAGTGGGGGGAACCAGGCTCCATGTTTGATTGCGACGGAGGGCTTGCATTTCCTCTTTCATGGCAGCAGTCCACCTTGGATCAGACAATGCCTGTTTCACACTGGTTGGTTCCAGGATTGGAGTAATAGGGTGTTTTGTGGTAAGATTGAGGAAGAGTCCACCTATGTACTTGGGATTGGGAACTCTTACTCGAGTGGGTCAGTTGGGGGGATTCTGTGAAATCGGTGGGTTGTGTGATGTAGGTGGGGTCGAGGAGTTATGGGGGGAAGTTGTGTCAGTCCGTGTCATAGTTGAGTTGGGTGTTGGGTGAATAGGTGGACACTCATTAGTGGGTGGAGGTGGAGGAGAGATATGTGGAGGCTGTTGGTGGGTAGATAGAGACAAGGGTGGTATGGGTGGGTTAGAATTATTAGGAGATGAGGCTTGGGGAATAACAGGAGGTGGCTGGACAGGTGGGTACGTTAGGGGATAAGGATGAGTATTATTTGGATTAGTGGAGTTTGTTGATGGTGAGGAGGAATTATTTAAGGGAGAGGGGACCACAGGAGGCAACTGCATGCATGTAGGCGTGAGAGACGGGTTGGACGCGGGCATAGAGGTTGAGTTACGAAATGGGAAAATATCAGGAATAAAACGTACATGGCGACTGGTGTACACTCGATTGGTGCCTGGGTCAAGACATAAATAAGCTGATTGAGAAAGGGAATAGCCAATAAAAACACAAGGTAGGGAGCGAGCATTTATTTTAGACAAGGAATATGGACGAAGCCACGGATAACACAAGCACCCAAATGGTTGTAACTTATGATAATTGGGTTGAGTTTATATAATCGGGAGTATGGTGTAGAGTAATTAAGGGCGGAGTTAGGAAGACGATTAATAAGATATACTACTGTTTGAAACGCATATGGCCAATACACGTTAGGAAGACCGGAATAGTGGAGTAATGTAAGACCGGTATCAACAATATGTCTATGCCGACGTTCAGCAATACCATTATGTTCGGGGGTGTGGGGTGGTGTGGTAAAGTGAGATATACCATGGTGATTGTGTAAGGAATAAATGTAATTAGATTTTGATGATGCTAGGTTATTTAGAATGTTAGAGTACCCCTATTAGATTTTATGTATTAGACTTTTTCCGTTGTAAGTATTAGTATAATCGACATCAGAGTTGCTAAGTGGATCTGATCAGAGTTGCTATATGAGAACTGCTTTCGGAGTCGCTCTCGGAAGTCATAAGAGTTGCTCTTCAGAAGACTCATCAGAAGTCTACATCAGAAAGCCATCAGAGTTCGATGAAAAAGCCCCATCAGAATTCAACTTGTGAGAAGCATCAGAGTTGCTCTTCAGAGCTGCTTATCAGAAAGCCATCGGAACCCAACCTATTAGAAGAGCACGATCAGAGCCCGACTAACACTTAGAAGAATTTCAAGGCTGCTTTCAACGTCAGTTAAACTAACGGGAAATTCCCTAACGGCTAAAAGACTGGACGTGAAAGGAAAGCATTTAATGCTCATTTAATGAGCCTGATACGCTGTGGAGTTATTGCAGATGATTGACCGAGATTCCTGGAGAATATTATACAAAAATAGAAAGCTACCAAATCTGCGGGTCCAACCGGTCAACTCCACAGTATGCGCATTCAATGCAGTTGTCTCCTCTTCCAACGGGTAGACAACCCCAGTATAAAAGATACTCAATGAAGAACAACTGGATAACTTTGCAAAAACTCTTGCTCTCATCATTATACAAGCATTCTTGAGATTCAAACTCCTTAAACATCAA